ACACCATATATGGCCTTATTCGCTCTCCACTGCTCCCATTGGTCCGTTCTCCCTAACCACCCCCCCTGCCTACTTCGTATATAAGTAGCACCTTCCACATCCTATCACCACAGCTACTGCTCTCCGCAGCTATTCAACTGCTCTGAAGATGGAGGTGCTATGTTCCTCCGAAACGTCGGCCAAAACGAAGAATACACGGTGTCTAAACCCAGAAGACAACTTTCTTCAATCAAATAACTTCTTTAAATATTGAATAACCATAATAATTTTAATGATTAAAAAGGTAATAAGCTAATATTATTTTCTGATGTAAGTTGTAAATGTCAAATATGGGAAACAGATATCTTTAAGTGATCATTATTAATATAAACACACATAAGAGTGAATATGTACATATATACATATGAGTATTTCACAATCTATCACAGAACCCCTAGCAACCTTTTGTGGAACCCTTGGGTCCTGGAGAATCCTGGTTGAGAGAGCCTGGCCAAGCCTAACTGTGATAATCTTGTAGAGAACAGCGTGTGAAATTTGTGGGAATTCACATGGAAGTTCTGAAATTATTAAGCACCATTTTTCACTAATTTTTTTGGTGAACATTTTGAACAAGAGCATCATCCACTACAGATGGTCGACCACTCTTCATCATGAACATCTCTTCACCACTGTCTTACAGTTCCTTCACTCATTACATTCTGGCCGTAAACCACACACAATTCAAGATGGATTTCCACAGCACTCATGTTTTTAGGATGAAGAAAGCAGATAAGCATGAATTTCACAGCTGGATTATCAATCACAGGACACATCAAAATTCACTCTGTAGAGACAAGAACAAACACTAGGTGACCCAATCTCAGCTGTGACAAGTATCTTGGCTGAGGACTTTGCTGGTTTTCCTCACTCTCTCAATTATACCATGACCACATCCTTACAAATTCTTTTCAATTCATTATATGCTAATCAATCAATCCTACTACCTGAAACTACAAAATGTGATGCCAGCATCATAAAACAAATTAAGAGAAAAATCAAGATCAAACCTTCAGCCTGCTAGGACCACTTTACATTTCTAGACTGTGAAACAAAATCTGGTATTACAGGTTTTCACTTCTTCCTGAGACATTGTTTGTTTAGAGTAAGCAAATGTGTGAGCAGTCAAAAAAACTGTTACTAAAGTCAATCAAACAAGTTTATAATGTGATTAGAAACACTCTTAACATGGCTTCTTCAAGCAGAGTCCTGCAAAATAAATCATATTATATTACAACAGTGGATATATTATATACATACCCAATTTTTCTATTCTGGTTCCCAATATACATGACTTGGTCAATTTCCTTCACACTTTTACACACGAATGAAGATATATCCTTAACATATACTCCAACATCCGAGTTTTCACGCAATTCATATTTCTTTGTTTGGTCTTTATTTAGAAGGTCCCTATAAAAGAGAAAATGTATTAAGCAACCATTAACTAAAGCATGAACTCTCAGAAAAAAATACCAAATTTTTACAACGAAACAAACACTGAAATTACAAATACAAATCACTCCGTCCAATGTGACATTGTTAGTGTGATGGACCAGAATGAAACAAATCAAACACTGAAATCTACAGCTTCTGGCAAACCCACTGCTACTGAGACTGATGACTATTTCAGTCACACCAAGCATTCAGACTGTCGCTAGCTTCACTGCATGACCCTGATGCTGTCAGGGCCCTTCAAAGAGTTCTGATCATAATTCCAGAGCCATAACCAAACCCAATATTTGTCAGTTCTAATCATGTATAGTAGAGATCGCTATTCTATGCTTAGCCAAAGTTGGGCAACGATAAGGATACCTCCACCTCTTCCAACTCAAATTTCTTGCACAACCCATAAACGATAAAGGCTCTGCTGCAGAAAAGCACAAGTACTGCTCTACTATGAAACAGTAATTATAATAAATTCAAGACTGGTCTCTTACAATGGCACAAGTCCAGTATTGATTCTAAGACCTGCTCTGGCTACACTACATCTTCTGTTCATGGAAATGTGATAATGTACACAAACTCATTTAAAGTGAAAGAAGAAAGCAGTCTTCTGGGATTTGGCACCGTGTGTATGTGGTGTTAACCGAAGTTTCGGAGGAACGTATCGCCCCCATCTTCAGGGTAGAAGAAAAAGTATAAGAAATCTGCAAGCGACAACACCGTGAGAAACGGTCTGCTTTACCGTTTCTCACGGTGTTGTCGCTTGCAGATTTCTTATACTTTTTCTTCTACCCTGAAGATGGGGGCGATACGTTCCTCCGAAACGTCGGTTAACACCACATATACACGGTGCCAAATCCCAGAAGACTGCTTTCTTCATAGTCACCGCCGTGAAAGCCTCAAATCATTTAAAGTGGCTAAACAGAAAATAAGTAACATATTGAGACTAATCTAAAAAAATTTACTTTAAGAGTTTGTCAGGGCACAAGCGGCATTTGAAGTACATTAATAAAATCATAAGTGTCTGGCACTTGGGGTTGATGAATATCGTTCAATACATTGCATTCTCATTCAGCAGTGAATGGGAAACAAAATGAGAATGTTTCATATTTAAGAATTAACAACCCCCTACCATTAAGTCATATGGAGGAGTGAATGTATAGATCCAAGTTTTCTTGACCTCAACACTAGATGGAGGGGACTGGTCAGTTTCACACTACAGGCATTTTACCGCCAGGGAAAGAGCACCCGGTACCCACTGGAAAGGAGATTGGGTGGACCCCAGAGCTGGTCTGGATGACATGGAGAAATGAAAAATCTTGACCCTAATGGGACTCAAACTTTAATCCCTCAGTCATCCAGACTGTAGTCAGTAGATATATAGACTGCACTACCCCGACCTCCTAAGAATGAACAAATACTGAAACAAATTTAAAAATGTGGCTTCAGTATAAATTTTAAATTCTTTTCTCTTCATTGTGGCAGTAAAAATCCACCTCAGTAAGATGTCCACCCTATCTTGGAGGCGGCCAGCGGTTACGTCGGTCAGATACTTACAGCATGGCTGCCCTGGTTTGATCCCGGGGTAACTGTGACTTTTTATGTTGCATGTTACAGGTGGTAATGATGCCATCCTTGGTGAGGTTGGCTGAACCATGGCTGTGTCTCTGGTGGGGACGCATCATGGATCAGGGATGTGTTGGGATACAGCATTGGGACACTTCCTCATTGTCCCGCCGGGCAACAACAGTCTCGGGATCTGAATCAGTATGACCTTCCAGGGCTGGCAGCTAAGTTCCCATAAAGGGCAATGGCTATATGACCAGAGCCTCCCACGTGGCAGCATAATGACTCTTGGGTGTCATTACGGTGTACCTGGGACAAATGCGGGAGAGCACTCCCATGGGGATAGCTTCGGCTATTTGAGTTGCCTCCCTAGAGTACCGATAAGGTGCCGCAAGCCTTAGGGCTCAACACTCTAAAACGGTTTGACCAAACCATGTGGAGGGGTGGGAATGGGGGAGCTCATAAGCTACCCCCAGGGGCGACTCTCTCATGTAGGTTGCCCTGGTCGCAACCTCATTACTAACTGGTGTCGCACTCCCATTAACCTTTATCGGACGGGCCATTTAATTTCCGGTAGGGGCAGCTGGACAGAGTTTATTTAAATGCCCACCCTTCTAGAGCGATGAAATTGTAAGCATGTTTCTAAAAATGGTGTGATTTCTACATTTTTTATGATAAACGAACGAAATGAACGCTCCTTTAATGTAGAAAGAATATAGAATCAGATATTCTAATTTACAGATTTTAATATCTGTAAAAAAATGTTACACT